CTTGATGATGCTTCGAAAGGGAAACAGGTGTGGAGGGATTGCTATCACAGGTCATGCAAGGCAGGCGTTCCTCAGATGCAGGCACCATGAGGGAGACAGAATCAGCAGGCAGCTGAAGTGACATCATGCCCAGAGGAAGAGGAAGATGAGGAGACCCGCACCCAAGACTCAATGGGGAGGAAGGAGGTCACAGGTGCCAGAGGCTGCTGTATCCAATGACGGAAAGCTCATATTTAGAAGTATAACCTCAGAGAATGTGATGGTTGTGAACTCTCGAAGCCTGCTCTTTTTGGGGGGTGGGGTGCAAAAACAATAATCTAAAGTGAAGCTGAGGATTTGGAAAAAGAAATCCAGACTGTAGACAGATGATGCTCCTTCTTCAATGTGCCTTTAATTCATTAATGGATAGATGTAATATTTGATCTTTAAGATCAATATTTAAATATTTATAAGAGCAGAGATGGGAATTGCATAGCCATCCGTGTGCTGCAGGTTGTATGTCCCAGAAACTCTGGTAAAAGCCAATGGTAGGAAGGCTGGAAGATGCAGTCCAACAACATCCAGAGGTCGTATGATTCTCTCTCCCATCATAAAGCAACTAAGCTAAAGTGCTGCCATTGCCCAATGTAGGCTAGTGTGCCAGCAAAACCCCTTCCTAGGAAATATGGTTTGGGTCACAATAATCCATACATAATGTGTTCTACAGGGAGCTTGTCTTTGAAGACTGTTCCAAAGCTACATCTAGCAGATGGACTCTTGTAAAGTGTCTGCATAAGACACCACATCTCAGTATTCAGAGAAATCTGTACTTGGCACAAGATAGTACAATTAGAACAGAATATGGAGAAACAGAATGGTTCCCAATTGGCAAAGGGATGAGGGAAGGTTGCATTTGATCAACCTATTTATTCAACTTATATTATCATATGAAGGTTTAGACTCAGAAGGAGGAGGAGTGAAGATTGGAGGAAGGAACATCAACAATGTAAGATACACAGATGACACCCTATAACTAGTGGAAAACATCATAGGCTTGCAACAATTGCTAGGAAAGTCAAAGAAGAAAGTGCAAAGGCAGGCTTATTGCAGAACATAAAAAAACCAAAAATAATGACCACAAAGGAACTGCATTCATTCAACCTAGACAACAAAGAAACTGAAAGAGTTAAAGATTTCCCATACGTTGGATCAAACATTTATCATAACGATCACTGCAGTCAGGAAATCAGAAGAAGAATGGGAAGGGCAGCCATGAAAGAACTGGACAAGATCCTACTGAGCACAAAAGTTAAAATCATACAAGTTATTGTATTCCCCATCACCATGTATGGATGCAAGAGCTGGATAGTGAAGAAAGGCAGATAGAAAGAAAATCAATGCATTTGAGAGAATGTGGGGCTGGAGAAGAGAGCTGAGGATACCATGGATGGCCAAAAAGACAAACAAATGGGTCCTAGAGCAGGTCAAGCCAGAAATCTCCCTGGAAGCCAAGATGATAAAGTTGAGGCCTTTGTACTTTGGCCACATCATGAGGCAAAATGAATTATTGGAAAAGCCAATGATGCTAGGAAAGATGGAGGAAAGCAGAAAGAGAGGAAGACTGCACACCAGGTGGATAGACTCAATTAAAGAAGTCACAAGATTGAATGTTGCAGGACCTAAGTCTTGAAGATGTCCCATCCATGGGGTTGCCATGAATTGGCATCACCTTTAGGGCAGTTAACAACAACAAACAACAATCAATATCCAGCAGGGGGTTCCTATATCTCTGGGCTTGGCCCTTTTCTCCAGTTCTTGGGGTAAGGAGGGAGAATCACAGGGTGAGAGAGTTGCCTTGAAAAGTTCCGCTTTTGTTGGATTTGGTTTAAATGGCATACACTATGCCACTGTGATTGATCCTTAGTGTTTCAAACTCAGGGGCTGCCCCTTGGTTCAGCACCCATGACAGATCACCAGGGCACACTTCCTGTGACATCACATATTCATTGTTAGGTCTCAAGCTTTGCTCTGACATCTCTGGGCCTTGTAGTGAGATGGGGCTCTGCCACCAGTCTGATGGGTTTTAG